AGATCAACATCAGAATATATTAAATATTAGTAATCTCTAATACTTTAATCATCAAATGTTGAGAATTTTTTACTAAAAAAATTTAAAAATACTTTTTTTTTTTTATTTTTTAAAATATGATGTAGTTTATAATTATTTTTAATTTACACAGACGAGTTAAAATGCTACAGAAATTTGTTCGTCACACCCTATAATTTACCCAAAATGTCAAAAGAAACAACTCTGTGAGATGCGTGCAAAAATTGATGTGAGAGTGAAAAGTGAGTCGTAAAATGTAGGGCCCGCAGGAAGGTGAAGTTAGGTGGGTGTTAGTGTGGGCCACTGAATCATTTCCACTATTAGGGAAAACGCCCGTGACCTGTTGTTGGTCGTCACTCTAGACTTTCTTTATTACAGTCTTCAAATTTATTTCTTTTTTATTTTTCTTTCACTCCTTTTCACAACGGCCAAAACTCTGCTTTTCTCTCTCTTGTCGCAACCAAGTTACCATAAAACCCTTTTATTTATACGCACCCAATAAAGCGAAAAACAATTTTAATTCCCTCCAAAATTGAATATCTACACTCCCCATTTGGCTACTGCCACACCACTCCCTAGACTAGTATGGTCAATAATATGGGAGTGCCGCAAGTAAAAACAGCGAAAAGTCGCCGCTGTGCTTTTACTTTCTTTTTTTTTTTTAGGTGTCAGAGCTGAGACTATCGTCGCTTCCCAACGAAAGTTCGTGTGTGCCAGGTTGCTCTTTAAACGACGTCGTTGATACCGTGCGAGAAAGCGATTAAACGATGTCGCTTTATGACTTTTGCCCTTCCCAAACGAATATTGTGAATTTTGCCTTTCAATTTATTTTTTTTAATATATGTGTTTATTATTGATTTTCCAGGCAGTATCATTTCCTGTATCATCGGACAACGATGCGAGCACTCGGTTTTATTTTTCTCCTCTTCTATCTCTATCTCTCTGACTTTCTTCTCCCTCTAAAATAGAACAAAACACAACAGAGTTTAAATTCAGATTTCTCAGAAAACAAACTATTGTCGAATACAACTTACTGTGTTTTTATTCACAAATTCTACGTTCTTGTACATGTTTCCGAGGATATCGTGTCTACTTGTCGTTTGGATTTTCCTCTTCCTGCTTGGTTACCAAGAAAACTGAATTAGTCGGGAGAAGCAAACAAAAAAAAAAAAAAAAAAAAAAATCTTCTGCAAACATTTCGATCTTATGTTTGTTCAAGTTTCTCTTTTGTTCATGAGACGTCAAGAAGTCAGCTAAATAATATTTAGTTTCTCCGTCGTCTTGTCTCCTTTTCTTTCCCCTCTAGCTTCCCACAAATCGTTTTCTTCTCCTTCATTTGTAAATTAACGGAGAAGAACTGTCGGTTGGTGGTGGGTAATCTCGGGTTTTGCTTTCTAATTTCTGAAAAAGAATTTCCTTTATAAGGAGTTTATTTTTTTTACGCGACTTTTTTGTTGTTTTAATTGCTTCTGCGATGGCTGAGTCAACCAAGCTAAGGTTGGTTCGGTGCCCCAAATGCGAAAATCTCCTCCCGGAGCTGGCGGATTACTCTGTTTACCAATGTGGCGGCTGCGGTGCTGTTCTTCGAGGTACGGTTGCGTCCATTTTCTTGTCAGATTGGTTTAGAAAGTCAGGAAGAGATGAGGAAGTATACTGACGGTTTCTTTACTGTTGTAGCCTATGAAATTTTCTTGTCAAAAACTGTTACCTATTTTAATCACTGTTATGAATCCGAAATAAAAGGTGCAATTTTTTTTTTAATTCGATATTTAGTTTTCTTCATTTGTAGTTTCGAGTTAAAAGTCTATGGCTTCCACTTATTTTTTGCTTCTGCCCTAACTTGACTGCATAAGAAAACATGTAGGAGGGATTGGATCCAGATATTTTTCGGGTGCTATTGATTTTTTTATCACGAACCAGTTGTCTTACTTCAGCTAGCTTTTGTTTTCTAGGAAATTTCTCATGATTTCCTTGTTTTTTTCTGCAATCAAATTGGCAGTTTCTTAATTAATTTTCGTTTTTCTTAAAGTAGGTTTCTTTTTTCTATATTCAAACGTTAAGAATGGATTATTGTTTGCTTAATTTACAGCCAAAAACAAAAATCAGCAGATAGATACTCTGTCGGAAAAGACAGATGAAGAAAGGAGTGGAGGAGCTTCTTCTGGTAAATCCCAGAATTCCTTGGAGAAGGGAATTGTAGATTTGAGTGATGCTTCTGATACGGATGTCCTTTCGAATACTGGCTCTTTGAAGTCAGAAGAAAAGGGTCCCGAGAACAATGATGTTGGATTTTCTCAGAAACAAAGGAATGAATCTCAGGTTACAGGTGAGAATTGGACTTCTGAAAATGGTCTTGGTATGAACATGAGTAGAGGTGAGTGGGTGAACAAAATGAGAAGAGAAAATGAGGAGTTGAATTCTGAATTTGGAAGTATTGGTGGATCTGAGAGACCAGGGCAGATGTCAGACTGGCGAGGTGGGATGAGACGCGAGATGGATGGATTCAGAAGAACTTCGAGAGCTGATGTTGAAGGCCTGAGATACTCAACTTCAAAACATCTGGACGAAGGCCCATCTAGTTGCTATTCGGATTCTTCATATGGTTATCAGGCACCATCAAGGAATTATTATGATCAAGAAGGGGCAAATAGAGGTCAATACCTTGACCAAGATCGAGCTGAGCTCCTGAGGAAGTTGGATGAGCTAAAAGAACAACTAAGTCGGTCTTGTGATGTAATTGACAAACCAAAGGACCAGGTCCCTCTAGATGGTAGGATGGTTCCTCCAGATCCATATGGTCCTGCTGACACCTGCATATCAAATGTGTCTTCAGGATCCGAGAAGGTTTCGATGCCTTTCTTGGGGCCTGGAAAACATGTTGCAGGACCTCCTTATTTCCACCACCGTCCGGACCCATTTGCTTACCCAAGTGGCCATGAAGTGCCTATGCATGGCTTATATCCTTTGATGAACAATCCAAATTGCATCCCTGGATATGGTGATTCTTATGGGTCACAAATGCTTAGAAGAACTCCACACCAGTTACCTAGTCAATACCAACAGCAACCATCACATTCCTACTTCTCTGGACAGTATGTCGATACCACTCATGATTCATTTGAACCGTACCAGCAAAATTCAGTCTTTCACCAGCCTTCTTGTTCTTGCTTCCATTGCTATAACAGACAACAGAGAGCTTCAATGCAGATTCCCACCACCACCAACTTTAGCAATAAAAGGTACAATGATGCGCCATACAATCCCAATCTTTGCCATCATGAAAACCCTGGAATGTTTGGTCCAAATATCCATAATACTAGGACTTCTGTTCCTCCAGCATTGAATTTCCGTGGTCCACAAGCCCACACTAGATGGGCCGGTGATATTAACTCTGATATGGGTGGTTTTGTTCGCTGCCGTCCTCCACGAGTGGTTTTAGCCAGTGGTGCTCGCCACTCTCATCCTGTGGCTGGCGGTGCTCCCTTTCTAACATGTCCCGATTGCTTTGAACTGCTTCAACTGCCCAAGAAACTACAGGTGAAAAAGCAACTAAAACTGCAGTGCGGGGCTTGTTCTACAGTCATCAATTTTGCTATCATCAATAAGAAACTCGTCCTATCTGTTAATGCGGCAGCCAAGCCAACATCCACTGAGGTTGATGATAGCTCTAGGGAAGTAGTGGAAGACCAAATTTCCCATTCCCATGGTTTCGTGAAAAGATTATCAGTCAACTTCTCTTCTGATGATTATGATAATTCTGGTTATGATTTTCAATCAATGGATCCTGTTCCACTGTCAACTGGTCAGGGCTTAAACTCGAGCAAGCCTCAAGAAATGCAAAGTTTTCATTCTTCATCACCTACTGCTTCTGATGATGAAAACAGTCCAGACGTTTTGAATGCTGTTAGAGGGGTTGCAAACTCAGCCCAATGTCCAGTGAAAGACACTTTTTCTCCACCTCCTCGTGGTTCACCTCTACAAGAGCACTTTGATTACTCCTCTAACAATCATGCAGTTAATCGGTTTGCAAAGGGGAACCGAAGTAGTCGCTCAGACCAAGAGAAGGTGGTACCAAACAAGACAGCCAAACGACAAAATTCAATGGAAGATGCATCATTGGCCACTGAGATGGATGTCTCATTCAATGAGTACTCAAATACTGGTGTATCTCAAGATTCAGGAGATACAACCAGAGAGCATGATCCTCCAAGAACCAACAAAGGAGGTGAATCATTTTTTGCAAACATTATAAAGAAAAGCTTTAAGGATTTTGCCAGATCTAATCAAGCCGAAGATCGTGGGAAGAGTAATGTTTCAGTAAACAGGCATCCCATACCAGAACGTGTGGTCAAAAGGGCAGAAAAGATGGCAGGACCAATCCTTCCTGGACAATATTGGTTAGTACGCATTTGCACGTGATTAGTGCATCAATTTTCTGTGTAAATATGATAGATTCTCTTTTCTTCTATGTTTTCATAGACATGTGCGGTTGAGCCTATTCATGAAGAAAAATAAAAATATTTATAATAAATTAGATAATGATAATAAGAGGTAGGATTGTGATAGGTGGTTCTTATTTTGAGAAAGCTGAATCTAGGAATAGTCTTGTCTGCTTTCTGGCATTTTACAATATTATTCACAAAACATGATAATTTAAATGCTCATCCCTCATAGAGCACTTTTCTTTTTGCATCTATGTGTTCATCATTTGCTATGTGCTTAAACCAGGTATGATTTCCGAGCGGGATTTTGGGGTGTCATGGGCGGTCCATGTCTTGGCATAATTCCTGTAAGATTGACTATTTCTTACATGAAACTTAACATATTAATTTGGTTTTAGGTTTTGTTTCCTAATATATTTTGGGTAAATAAAACTTTCGTTTTTCTTGCAGCCATTCATTGAAGAGCTGAACTACCCAATGCCAGAGAATTGTGCTAATGGAAACACTGGTGTCTTTGTAAATGGACGGGAGCTTCACCAAAAGGATTTAGATTTGCTTGGTTGCAGAGGCCTTCCAACTGACAGAGATAGATCTTACATTATTGAAATCTCAGGAAGAGTCCTTGATGAAGATACTGGCGAGGAGCTGGATAGCCTTGGCAAACTTGCCCCAACGTAAGCTTCAATCACTATATGATGCTTTTTTCACCAGTTATATTTTCTTGTCCATGGCTCGATATAGTAAAGGGTAAACTTGCGGTGACTTAAGCTTCAATCACTATCTGAGTTTTTTGGGTGGGAAAGATTTATGAATTCAGGCTTTCATCTAGTGCAAATAATTAATCTTCTTCTCTTTCACGGAAAAGCTTCTGAGATATGGCTGGTTTTTGTGGGTACATATAATAGCAAACTTCAAAATCATTTGGAATAACTACATCTAATTGTCTTAAGGGTGTGCAGTACATTATTGAGTTTTGGATTTTTTGAACAGAGTTGAGAAGGTAAAGCATGGATTTGGCATGAAAACACCGCGATCAGCTACATCATGAGCCTGTAGGAATCATTAAGTTGGTGTGCTATTCTGCCATATGGGAATATTTTCAGCAATTCTTCTCTGCAATTGTGGCAAAATCTATATCTTTGCATAGAAGTTGTAAGGTTTGATTTTCTAGTATATTATCGTCATGTTGCCCTATAGCTGTAGATTTAAGTGCTTGTGTGCTTGTTTTCTTTGCACTGGTAAGATGTAAATTATATGCAAGTGTTCCTCTTTCTTGAGCCCTTCTGTGTTTCATATGGTGTTTGTATATATATATATATATGGTTTGGCTTTCTCCATTGCCAAGTTTGGAACTTGAGCAAAACAAGAACAGGTGTTGAATTCAGTCCGCATAAAACTTTTATCAAATAACCATTCAACTTTCTCGATGCATGGAAATAAAATTTCAATGATTTTACCTTTATGATGATTTTTTTCTTAAGTAAAGAAAAAAATCATTGGTTGGAATTGACATGGGATGTCATCTTTTTTTAAAGTGAGAGTATACTTTTCCCCTTTATTAAGAAGACATGGGCTAAAGACTCCGCCTTTTACTTTTTATGTGCTGTTATAGATTATAAGTACAAATAAAATTATTACTCTGTAATTATGGAAAGATAAGATGGGATTGGAGTTGTATTGTGGGCATGCACTCATGGGGAAGTGAGTTGGAACGCCGAGTCTGGCGCGGTGTGGTGAGAAGTGATGAGTAGAGAGAGGGTCCAGAGTTCTAAGGAGATATCAAACAGAGAGCTTAATCAATCATTAATGAATGGGGTAGAGAGGAACAGAAGACATTCTAAAGCCGAAAGACCCACAGCCTCAAGCTGCAATATGCCTTTTTCATCTCCCTTCTAAATAATTGCCCTCTCAATAATTTTCAGTGCTTTTCTACCCACGAGTACTTACATTGTATATATGTGTATATATATATATATATATATATGGAGTATAATGTAGTAATGAGCAAACAGAGTCTTACTAAAAGTGCTTATTATTACTCCGAAAATGTTGTCGGAGCTCCTTAGGCCTACTTCCCTCTCAAGGACAGTACCAATTACAACAATAATACCTTTGATATTTAGTTAATTAACTCATTAAAATAAATTCTATTACTACTCTTTAATTTTTAATTTTTAATTTTTTTTTTTCTAATGGAAATGATAATACTCTTATAATTTGTATGAATAATTTATGAAAAAAATCCACAGTTTGAAACTAAAACCTTATTAAAAGTAACGGGTGGTGTTGGGTAATTGTGGTTCTCAACTTTATGTGAATTGACAAAATAACAAATCCTATTTTATAAAACAAATTAATATTAAGTGGGCTTAGAGTGATTTACAATAAAATTCTAAAGATTTTTGAGACTCTGAATTATTATTATTAAATTGATTTATATAGTAGGAAACAAACATTTTGGTGTTACCTTGAAATGAATTTGAAATTTGATATTCAAAGCATGAATTAATTGGTTTGGACCCAAGGATTTTACTACCCTAATATTAACACTTTTTCTTATTATTTTATTTTTAAAATGAAAGATTGTATTATGGCATTGTGCATATTAATTATTATATTATTATAGGAGAGAGAGTTAAAAAACATAAAAAAATATAATCCTATATTGATTATTTAATAGTAAAAAAGAGATATTTTAATTATATATATATGTATATTAAGACTCATAAAAATTAAACTACACATAAAAATGTACCCAACACAATTGACATACACATTTGCAGTAAATTTTTTTAAAATTAATTAACATAAACATTAGATTGCATACGTAACAAAAGAAATATTATCATAGATATGATAGAAGAGAAAGGTGTTGGTCCGCTTATTATTAATTATCAAAGTTGAAGGCAGCTGTGCAAAATGCCATTTTATATTTTCTCACTGAAACATTCAGCATTTCAACAAAATTGACATATATATTCCCATCCCATTTTATATCATCTTTTTTTTTTTTTCTGGTTTTCTAACTTTTTATGTATTTTCCAAGTTTCTTGTCTCATTGATTCTTTTTATATATGAAACTCTCGCTGCAATTAAAAAAAAAAATTCAGATCAGACTGCCTTTCTCAGCCGACTCTTGCTATGCAGTTTGCAGCCTTATATATATATATATATATATATATGTATGTATGTAAAATTTGCTGGTGAAATTAATCAATTATTAAACCAGCTAAACACGCCCTATCGCCACAAATCTTAATCATACCCTCCGACTTCTAACACATTTGCCTAAAAAAGAAGTGATGGCGAAGCCACGTCCCTCTCTAATTTCTCTCCCGTTTTAATACTCAACGCTAAAACATCGCTTGCTTTGATCTGGGTTTCCCTCTTTTCTCTCCCTTTCTCTGTGTTTTTGGGTAGCTGAGCCCATATGGTGAGGGAGACGAGGCTTGATTTAAACCCATCCTCACTCACCAAGCGAAATCATGTGATTGTTAAGTTTGTTATCTCATTGCTCTTGATGGGTCTTGCATTTCGTCTCTTTATATCCGATTCATTCCCATTTTCTCCGTTTCAGGACACACAGACACCTCCCGATTCACTCCCACTTTCTCTGGTTCAGGACACACTCACACCTCCTCTGCTTCCGACCCAACCCGATTCTCCTCCTCCTGTCTCGTCTTTCCCCATTCAACCACCTATTTCTGTTGATTTACAGGCCAATCATACTCCACAGTACGGTAAACAACCACCTATTTCCTCATTTGCGTTTTTGTTTATATCTGTTTATAGCATGCAAGTGGGTTTGGAAATTGCTAAGTAAACAGAGGAAGACATGGGTTATTGGCTCTGTTATTTTTTCCTCATCGTGTTGTTTTATCTCAAGCCAACTCAATTGATTTTTATAGTAATTGCAGTTGCAGAGAAATGTGATCTTTTTACTGGGGATTGGATACCGGACTCATCAGGTCCAGCATACACAAATGAGAGCTGCCATGAGATTGAGAATCATCAGAATTGTATGAGGAATGGACGGCCTGATTCAGATTATCTTTACTGGAGATGGAATCCGAGGGATTGCGGATTACCCAGGTTCAATCCTGAGAGATTTCTTGATTTGATGAGGAACAAATCATGGGCCTTCATTGGTGATTCCATTTCTCGGAACCATGTCCAGTCACTGCTCTGTATTCTCTCTCAGGTACATTTTTGTTACAAGTTCTTGGTCTTCAAGACTCTTGAAAATTTTCCTTTGACAGCTTGTACTTCTTTTTTTGCATTTGTATTTGCTGCAAATGTTTTTATTTCATGGCTATTTGGTAAATATAAAAGAACTTATAAGAAGCTGTCTATCTGCATTTTCAGAAAGTTACACAGCTTACATGCTTTTATCTTTTGAGCTGGATGAAACAGCTTCAAGCTTTTTACTCAATCAACTTATGGTTATGAGGTGTTTCTCACTCAAATCTAGAAAAAGCTAGTGTTGCTTAGAAGAGAAGGGTTATGATGTTTGTCTCAAGCAATTAGTTGTTACAAGTATAATCACTTTGTTTCTTGCATTCTTGGCTCTATCATTGGGACATTAGATGGTTACATGGCATCTCATGATTTAGACTTGGCTTTTCCTGGTGAAATAATAGAGCTATAAAGTAAACTTCCTATTGATTACTGGGAGAGTGAACTAATTACTTGTATAAATCTCTTGGACGAAAAGCTTAACTGGGTTGTGTGGTGGGCCATTTGGAGGCATTTTCATTTGTGGAAGCCAACTACTACATCCACATCTTGAGGTTATATATCACTGCTTTTTCAAGGGGTTATTTGGTCCACTGACCATATGCAAGAACAATTTCCTAGTTTGTCTTTTGCCATTTTCTCGTGATAAAACGATTTGTAGACAGAACTTAATTTCCTGTTTGTTAGGTGTATGATTCTATTAGCATTCATTAGCATTAATTGTTACTCAATGGAACAATAAACTTTAGGCTACAGAGAACCCACATTTACACCTCCATTATTGCTCTTGAAAGAGTCTCCCGGGAATACAAGATATGATGACCAGATCCAGGGTATTTACTACTTTTGATCAGTCCGCTGTGTGTACTTACATACATATACATATATATATATATATGGAAGTATTTATGTGTGTATATTCTCTTGGATGAATTTATGCTTGAAATTCTCAAACAATGTTGATGAGCTACTTTTTGCACTTTTCCTCTCATTGTCGTGATTACTATGTGAAATAAAATTTTCTCAGTTTTGCTGTAGAAGAATCGAATCGTAAATCTGCTTTACAAGTTGCATTTCCTCACGAAAAGACCAACTCCTTAGGCTGGGTTTGGTATATAGGCAGGGGTGCTGAGTTCGGTTGTCTAATTGTTTACCTTTTTCTTTTCAGGAATCATGTAAAGGAAATACTAGGGCATATCTCAATCCAGCATGTTAGTCTAATTGTCTGCAATTGATTTTGTTTCATGTTGTTTTTCTCATGTTACTTTTTCTTGAGTCGTCTTGAATCAAAACTTTAATCATTCTTAGAGTAGGTATTGATCAATTTTCTGTTACTATATTTTAAAGGTTGAACAAGCTGTGGAAGTATATCATGATGAAGAATACAGATCCAAGATATGGCGGTTTCCAAGCTACAACTTCATTCTTTCAGTAATTTGGACCCCGTTCCTTGTCAAAGCTGCTATTTTTGAAGATATAAATGGTGTTTCCACATCTGAAATCCAGCTTTATCTTGATGAACTCGATAAGAAATGGACTGAAAAATACAAGAGCCTTGATTACGTGGTTATTGCTGGTGGCAAATGGTTTTTGAAAACTGCAATATACCATGAGAATAACACTATCTCGGGCTGCCATTACTGCCCTGGAAAGAACTTGACAGAGTTGGGATTTGACTATGCATATCGTAAAGCACTCCAGCTTGTGCTTAAATTCATCACAGGCTCAGACAATAAGGCATTTGTTTTATTCAGAACAACTACACCAGACCACTTTGAGAATGGAGAATGGTTCAGCGGTGGCGTTTGTAACCGAACAGCACCATTTAAAGGTGAGATAGATATGAAGGATGTAGACGCCATAATGCATGAAATTGAGCTGGAAGAAGTTGAGAAGGTTACAGCCATGGCAGCAGAAAATGGAATAGTTTTGAAGCTACTGGATACAACTCGGCTTTCAATGTTGAGGCCTGATGGGCACCCTGGACCGTACAGGCAATTCCAGCCTTTTGCCAAGGCAAAGAATGCCACAGTTCAAAATGACTGTCTGCACTGGTGCTTACCGGGGCCAATTGACTCTTGGAATGATTTGGTGATGGAGATCATTGTTAACAGTGGACCAAATCAATAATGAACTAATTCCAGTGATGGTTTCAGTTAGAAGGGTTCCTCACCGGGATGCTAAACTGGGAAGTGATAGAAGAAGATTCATTGGGCGGAAAAAGTAAAACCTGGTGGATGAAGATTTGCATGAGCAAGATAACTAGTAATTATTCTTTTTCATATTAATTGATAATTCTTTGTTTATTGCTTCGTCGTATAACCTGAATGGATAGAACAATTATTAAAGAAGAAGTTTCTCGAATTCGATCTCTATATCATCCAGTACCAGGTTTATAATTACATCAGTGAACAACATTTGTTAACTTACTTAAAAGATAAAATTTCAAATTGTGGCTGCATTGACATCCAATTTTGAAGCTTTGTCCTAACATTTTAACGACAAAGAACTTATCAAATGGTCATTAAAGATGAACAAGTCAATTACACAAACTTTGGTTCAAACTTTAACATTATTCAGCTTAAAATTCATGTTTTTAAGCCAACAAACTTGACAAACACAGACCACAGACAGGGTCATTCAACTTTGACATGTAGCAGCCACTCTTACTTGCTCGATGATGATGATGATGATGATGATGATGATGATGATGTGTTTGGCCTCTTCTCCTCCGGCTTAAGAAATGGATCCTGTGAAGTTTAAGAACATTTGATAAAAATTTAGCTATAAAATGATTTGGTCAACAAAGATAAAATGAATAACAGGGACGTTAATTACCAACAAATCTCTATATGAACAGATAATCGCTTAACATCAATTAAATATATGACTACTAGTGTTTAACAATCTCAAGATTTCCATTATAAACTTCAAAAACCAGCAAACCAATTTAATCTCAAATATGAGTGCTGATCATTTTAATAGCCATTTTCTTAATTATAGACAAAGCTAATTTAGCTGAGAGCATCTAATTCATATGATATAACACTTCTTGCCCCCCATCCCGTCATTTGAAAAAATCAAGAATGGCAAAGCCAACTTTAGCTCAATTAAACGCTGATCATCCCTATGATCTAAAAAATCATCAGAACCAACAAGACATAAGCTTATAAGCTCCTTCATATTCTAGACATATCAAAATATGCAAATGCAAGGACTAATCCTAAGGTCCCAAATGTCGAAATGGTATAAATCAAACAAACACATATTTGCACATTACAATTTCATTTGAAAGTGGGGGCATCATCACAATCTTAACACTAGCAAGGATATCATTAAACAGATTTTACCTTACCAATTTTTATGCCGGCTGAAAATTTAAACTAATTCACATCATCAGTTTCCAAGCATCCCAATTCCAAATACACTTATCTAAAACTCAGATGTTTTACGTTGTTATGTTTTATTCATTTTCCACTTTACTTCCAGTCAATTCCTAATTCTAATTCTCATTTTAGTTTTAGTTAGAACACAACCAGAAATAATGTTTATCCCGCTTGAAATTCTTCCCCTTCTATATGGTAAAAATAAAAATTTACAAGGAATTAAGCCTGAAATAAAGAAACAGCGTAATTATTAAGAGAAAAAAAAAACAATTCCAGATTACGTGGAAAACAAAAGAGACCTTGATCTACTGAATGCAAAATTATGTGAATCAAATCGAACATTTTGAGTCCTAAGTCAGCTTCTCAAAAGATTAAAAAAGAAAAAAGCTATCCGTTTAAATCGTATAAGATGATAAATAGATATAAATTGATAGATAGAAAAGCTAGGTTTCGAAAGGTGAAGGAAGAGAGGGGAGAACATTACGTTTTGCACAAAGATGAAATTGGCTACTACTACGGCGCCAACTATTCCGCCCAAGATCGCCACTGGGCCCGTTAGCAGACTCCATTTCCGGTATATCATCTTCTTCCCTTTCTGTTCTTTCCCACTGCCGCTCTTTCTTGAGGAAGGCGTCGCTGCAGATGCTCTTCTCCCAGGTCGGGAATAAAATCAGGAAAGATGGTTTTACAATATGTAAACATGGGCTGGGCTAGGCTTATACCTAATGCTGGCCTCTTCACACATGGGCTGTGCTCCAAGGCCCAATAGATTACGAAAGAATTCTCTTCTCCATAATCTTCACTCAAATATACCTCATGTTTATCAACAGAACCAAACCAAATTCGAATTGTAGATTGAAATTTTTGTTATTTTTTTAATTAAGAATTTTGAATCTCAAAATGAATCATATATAAGAAATAGAACATAATTTGCACATATAATTTGAAATATTATATGAATTAAAAAAACTAAAAAACTTAAAATTATAATTAGTTTAAAAACTACTTGGTTTTGAAATAAATTGTGCAAATAATTGAAGAAAGTAACGGAGAACATAAAATTCTAATTTTTTTCTTAGAAAAAAGATTTATTTAGTTTTTTTTAATCAACTAACAAATTTTGTTTCGTTTATACTTTATATATCCAATTAAAAGTCAATTGGATCTAATGTTAATATGTTTTGAACTCGATTTTTGTTATAATTGGAATGTGAATTGAATTCATACAATGTATTGTTAATTCTACTTGATTCACCACTAATTCTTTATAAATTGCGATTTACTTATAATATTCCTATTGTTTCATTCTTTTCTTAAAAAAAACTTTTGTATTGTTTCAATAATGAATTAAATCATATTGCATCATTCAATTTGTAAATCTATAATTCTCTACCTCTTAAAAGGGTTGAAGAAAGCACAGTCATAATGGCCAAGCCCATGGGCAGTGAAGAGATGGGCTGCATTGGACCACAAAGGTGGCACGTGTGAAATGTGTGTGTGTGTATATATATATACATATAGATATATTAGGTTAATAATAGGGACATTGAGGTGTATTTATAGTATAGGTACATCATTTGTTCGAGAGATGTATAAATACTTCTTTTTAACTCTTAAACTCTTTGGAATACATTTTTTATTCTCATAACCATTGGGTTTCTCTCTTGTCGTGCTATCCTTCAAGTGCAATCATTTTAGATCCCTTGATTTCGAATAGTCCGTACTACATTGGAGCAAACAAGATCTCCGCAACACTCATAGTTACTCAATTACTTGAAGAAAAAATTATCACATAACAGAAAGATCGATGAAGAAAGTGTTGCAAATAAAGAATAAATTAGGGTTTATTGATTGTGCTTGAGATAACCAATAGATCTTTTTAGATCCTTTGATGGAACGCAGGTCGATATAATAACATTATTATCACTTGGATTTGGAATATATTATTTACTTATATGTTTTATGCTGACACAACACATCAACTATGGCTTGCATTGGAGCAGAGGTATATATAACAAAATGCACTAAGAATTTATGAGGTAAAATAGATAAATCGCAAACCTCCTGTAAAACCAAGATTCTATAAGTATTTACTTTTCAAGACTAAA